GGCTGGCCTCGAACTCACAGAGATCCACCTGGCTCTGCCTCCCGAGTGCTGGGATTAAAGGCGTGCGCCACCACCGCCCGGCACGGATTTCAGTTCTTATTCCTGCATGATCAGTGAAGAACACTGTAGCTTGTGAGAAAACCAAAAAAGAAGAAAGTAGAGGTGTGGACAAGCACCCTTCATATGTGTGTAAACCTCTTCTGAGCTTCCTATGTATTAAAGCAGTAACACATATACATAAGAAGAGTTAAGACTGTGTTACCCTTTAACAGGACAACAGTGGTCTGATGTCTGAGAAAAGGTGTCTGGCCAGTAGACATCAGTGGTTAACAAAACCCGGCCCAATGCCAGGTGTGGTTTATTTCTTTTCTAGTTCTTGGCCACTGAGGCTCCGTTGATGCCAAAACATTATAGGCTATCAATAATGCACTTACTTACCCTCCAGAACTTGACTGCAAGACCCTATTGCTGAAGATATCACATACTTGAGCCATAGAACATGGAGATATCAAACTAGTAGTGACCTGAGAGCTTAATTACTACTTGATAGCTTTTATAGTTCTGGAATGTGCTATGTGCACTAAAAGGAAATCATCAATTTTATGCAGATATAAACCATTTAAGCTACAATAATAACTGACCTGGCAGGACATAACCACTGCTGTAATAGTAGCATAAACATCATGGGAGGAACTAGCCATTTTCTTATTGGACTTTAAGTCATGCTCCATAAAATAAAGCTCATATATAGCACCATTATTGGACAATGAACCCATGGCTAGATAATTCATAGACCCTAGGGGACAACTACTACTATTATTTACTTAGTGGTCATAATATTAAACCAACCCCTAACAATTTATCATTATATCCACAGATCTCCCAACTCTCACCAGAGAAGCTTCTATTTTCACGAGATGGTTATAAACACAGAGACACACAATTGGCCATAGTATAGAGAATAAGAAGACTACAGAATTGTCAGCTCTATGGAATATCTATAATGTATACTTCTTCCAGAAACTGAGGGATCAGTATGTAAGAGGGTGTGGAAGGAGTGGAAGAGCCAGAAGCAGCAGATAACTACCAGTAAAGAGCAGGGTAGCTGCACATATGAGTTCAGAGTAGTTGTGACAGCAAACACAAAACCTGTGCAAGCTCAAGCCAGAGCAGATCTCAGCATAGAGAAGGGAGATGGGTGAGCACACAGTAGTAGTAGCATGCTCTTATGGTCCCTGTGGATTTAAATCAAAAGAACAGATGATTTTGTGAAAAGACAATCATAACGTTTTTCATCATTATTCATAAAACTCATCATAATATATACAATATAAATTTTAAATATGTGCATATAAACTGTCAAATAAAAGATCAAAAAATTATCCTGTTCCCATCTTTCCATAGTTGCCTATAGTTCTTTATGTAGGCTTGAGGCCCTATAAGCTTTTATGTGTCCAGAGGTGGCCTTCTGTGAGGAAGAACACATCTATTGATTGTCTGGTACCAAACAGTCACTTCCCCCAAAGCAAACATGTAGATAGCATTATATAGATGCAATAGGTCATACTTAGGAATATATGCATATATACATAAATGTATGCAATAACAACTAGTGAAAAAAGAAGCCATGAATTTGAAGGTGAATGGGGAGGTGTATATGGGAGGTTCTGGAGGAAAGAAAGGGAAGGAATAAATGTTGTAATTAAACTGTAGTCCCAAAAATTAAAAAAAAAATAAAAAATACACTAATGAATAAATATCAGAAATTAAAAATATATAAATGCAGAATTAAAGTAAAATTATGTGGTATGCCAAAGTAAATAGACAGAAACAAATGCAATGCTACAGAGAAGAGCATTTACTTAATTAGAGGACAATTCTAAAATTTCTCAATCTATCAAATCGTATTGCTTAGACAACGGTACTAATAGTGGCACTAGAACTTTCATAGCAGGACTAGTTGGAAGAAATGTCTGCTGACACTTGCAGGCGAGATTCCCTTGTCATTTGATGCAGTTAACTGAAGGTGTACAAATGAGAATTGACATGAGCAAAAGCATTTCCCTATGACATGTAGTCACTCCCTCCTCGCCTCTAACTACTAGAATGGAATGAAACAATTTCTCTGTTTGTTTTGGGATATGAGATTCCTCAGAATCTAAAAAATAATTACAACTTGATCAAAGAAGGAATGAAAAGGCATGCAAATATTATCACACGTGATAATTCAATATTTAAAAAGTAGCTATTGATGTTCTGACAAGGTGGTTGCTTTTTCTGTTAACAAAAAAAGTTACAAAAAAGGAAAATGAGCTTTGAGTTATCTTGAATGTTAACTTCCCATCTCTGTGGCCTTGCCTTTGGTTCAGTAATTTTACTTTGACACATACTACATGATCTATACATTTGAAATATAACATATTTTATATTTTTATACTTTTTATAGTCATTTTACAAATATTTTATTATGTTTTATTACTTCTCTCTTCATTAGTAACTTCCCTCTTGCTATAATCTACAATATGTATTTCTGACCATTTTACATTGATTCTGCAATATATGTTTTGAATTTCTGATATATATCTGTTTTGATATTTTTTGAGACTATAATTTAATTACAACTTTATTAACCATCCCTCTATGGTCTACAATGATTATTAGATCCTGCATGAGCTGATTTTTATTTTAAATTGACACAAGCTAAGATCACCTGAGAAGTGGCAAGTTTAATGGAGAACATTGATTCATCAGAATTGCCTGTGGCCTGTAGGAAAGTCTGTGGGACATTTCCACTTCATTAATGGCTAATGTTGGAGGACCCAGTTCATTATGAATGATTTCACACCTGGACAGGTGGTCCTGGGTTATATAAGAAAGCAAAGTAAAGAAGCCATGAGGAGCAAGCCAGTAAACAGCACTCCTCCATTGCCTCTGCTTCAGTTCCAGCCTTCAGGTTCCTGTATTGACTTTCTGCCCTGACTTTTCATGATGGACTATAAGCTGTAAAGCTGAAAGAAATAATTTCCTCCCCAAGCTGCTTTGGTAATGATGTTTTATTGCAGCAATAGAAACCTAATTAAGATACTGCTTGTGGACCTCCTTCAGTCCTCACGTCAATTGCTGAAAATCTAATGATGTATATGACTGTGGAAAGTTGAGCTTTCCAAATTATGTCACTTCAGAGACTTCGATTTGAACCAACTGTGTTCTCCTGGATTTGAGCTAGCATACTATAATCCCTTCATATTTTCTCTTCTTTCTAGAATGTTTCTCCTGGCTTCACAAATTCCACATGGCTTGCCTTCTTTCATCCTTCATATGTCTACTTAAATGTCATTTTCATAGTGTCACTTCCCCTAACAATGTTACTGAGAATTATTAACTTTACAGTCAGCATCTCCATTACTCATATTTCTATCTATGGACCTACTTAATCTGTCTTGTTTTTCCACATTTTGTTAGTACTGTTTAATAGTATACAACACATAAAACAGTACCTGCTACACAGTATATGATAAATGTATATTTGTTGAATAGTAATATGATGAAACACACATATCCTACTTTGTATAAGAAGCCAGTCATTATCTATTATGAACAAAACCTTCCAAGATGGAAGCCTGAGCACTCAGCTCTATAACACTATGAGCAACCTTATTCTTCTTGACTTCTCCCTTTTCAGAAAAATGGGATAAACAGCACATATTTGGTGAGATTTTTTAAAATTAACCTTATTTGAAGAATTTCTGTATTATTCACATTTCAAAGTTGAGATCAAGAACATAATACTCATCTCTCTTTCTCTGCACACACGTGCATGTGCACACACACACACACACACACACACACACACACATACACACACAATATGATATGCCAGCTTTGTTGGTGTCATTAGTCTATATTTTGGTGACCATGATGATGTCTCACCCTAAGTCAGGATTAAAGTAAAGGATTCAAAATTAATCATATTAGAAAGAGAATGTTTAAAGATATAACAAGAAAAAAGTCTTGCATGTATACAGGTATTCCTAAATTTGAAAATCTGATGCAAGAATCAGGGTATGGGTTAACTATGTCTAAGAAGATTTAATTACACCATAACAATTTAATTCTGACAGCAGAGCTTTGTTATCCCTCGGGGTCTTCCAAAAGTCTCCCTCTAGAGATTATGAGTGCAGAGAAAAGCAGCTAAGGATATGGAGTATAGAAGGAAGCTGAGGGAGATTTACATCTTCTCTGGATGTTGAAGTTCAAGTGAGAACGTGGATCCTTTTCTGTGGTTATCTGAAATTAAGGAAGAAAGCAGTAGGTGAAATAACCATGGGAGGGCATAACACCTTCTAATACTGAGAAATGGGTAAAGGAACTATCTACAAGAATCGATTGGCATAATCAAATAAACTGAGTAGCAGCTACTTTCATTTGTGTTTTTTTTTTAAATACAGACTTATACAATCTCTTGTAAAAGTTATATGTCATTTGATACCTTTGAGGTCCTTTATGTACACTGCATTTTTTCACTGACCTGGATTATGTCTATGCAATGAACCATCAATGATTTATTTTCTTCATGCTTTCTGTTTCTCATGGTTATTTCTCTTTCAAATTTTTTATTATAGGTTGAATAAATAGCTCCAATGCAAACTCATATTCCATGGGAAGATAGAATAACAATAGCCCTGAAGTTAAACTGATCACAAACTGTCCTTCACCATTTGTAGCCCAGTGAAATACAATTCATCTACTTGCTACTTCCCCTCATGCAGAAGGTAATGCTAATCACCTTGCAATGGTGTAGTCCCCAGGGGTAGAAACTAATTTTTTTTGTAGATGTAGGTGCAGATGCAAGAGTTGCCAGTTGCCTTACATTATGAATATTATCAACTGTTGTAGAATGATCATGAAAGTTAAAATAATAATGAGGGCTTCACATTTGCTAGTTCCTGTTGATATCTGAGAAGTGTAGCTCTGCCAGACTCAAGTCCGCTGTAGTCTTTCTTCTGTTACATTCTGTTACATACATAAAGGATCATAAAGGATAGCCATTAACTTCAGACTTTTTTAAATGATTTATTGTGAGTGAAACACATGTCTCAAGAAATTCTCCTATGGAAGCCTTTCATAATTTTATTTCATGGATGAGTAATCTTATACTCAGGAAAGAAAATAACCTCTTCCCATCCCACATGGTAATGAGAAACAATGTAGATTCAGTCTTTGTGTCTTTCCTAAATATTAAATAATTTCTATAGATAAAACATTTAAATCAGCTTTTTTATCAACTGAATGTGAGTACAAAGAAGGACTCTGGAGATGTAGGTCTCCTAGATCTCTTTCCCCAAGCCCTGCAGCCACATAGTCATCATGGCTCAGCTTAGTGTTTGTTTTCCTAAATAGTTGTTTCTTTCTTGGAATTTTTCTTCTCCTCTCCTACACTAGTAGCTTGCTTGGTTCTCATTACTATAATTCCATGCTGCTTTCTCCTTCCTGTATCAGAAAGAAAAATTTCCTTCCTAAGAATTCTCATGCATGAAAGAGAAAGAGACTTAGAACTTATTTTCCTTATTGATTTAGGGGCAAATGTAATGATAAAAATTTGGCAAAGCAAGAATATGAGCATTAACATAGAAAAGCAGTATATATACATGATCTAACATTACCTAGTAGCTGTGTAATAGCTTATACATTTGAACATGTGTGTTTCTATGTGTATATGTACATAAATCTGTGTTTCTTTCTTGATAGTGCCAGCAGGAAGATACTGAGAGACAAGAAGGACAATCACCAGGTCACTGTTAAAGAGGGATCTGCACATTCCCCTGCAAGCAGACGTATAAGTCAGGTTTCAAGGTGGCATGTCTCTCTGGTGGGAGCACCAAGAAAGGGAAGGTTGGAAGATAACTGTAGGATGAGAAATGGTCTGAGGAAATTGATCAATCAAAATATACACAAAAAACCCTTAGAAAGTCCTGGTCCTGCACTAAGTGAGTTAGGTTTCCTCAGCTCAGGAAAGCGTGTCTTGCACAGCTTTAATGACTTTTGTCCTTTTTAAACCTCTCCACTTTTGCTCATAAAGTAATTAGTCACAAAAAACAATACTTCTATAAAGCTTGTTGTCATTTCATGAGACTTTATTTCATGAATCTTAATTGATGACTTCTGCAATGTCAGTCACTACCTTTCTGTTCCACAGGAATAAACATTCTCAAGCTCATCTTTTGCAGCCAGTCTCAGCTTAGAACCTGGAATGTTCATTTTGGACACTCGATTTTCTTAACTGAAATCTAGAATATAACTGAATGGATGTGTGTGTGTGTGTGTGTGTGTGTGTGTGTGTGTGTGTGTGTGTGTGTGTGTGTGTTATCAGAGTGCAGGATATACAGAGCCTCTAGAAAAATATATTAGATCCATTAAAACTGGAGTTACAGGTGGTTGTGAGCTGCCTTCCATGGCTTGGAACTGAGGGCTAGGAGCTGAAGCATCTCTCCACCACCACCAACACCACCAACACCACCAACACCAACACCCCTTTAGAATAAGAAGTAGAGTGAGAGCAAAGAGTAGTCATGATATATTGTATGAGAAAAGACTATTTTCAATAAAAGGGGAAAAAGAAGAAAATAAAATTGTTCTACCATTACATTTTAGACATAGGTACTTTCAAACCTCTGTGATCAAGTAACCTGGATAACTATGATAAAAGTTTCTCTGATACAGTCTCTTGTTTTGGTGAGCTATAGAAGGATGCTGTCTAGTATCCCATGTCTGTAACCCACAGTGGATGTGATGCCTTCGGTCTATGCTGTACTTTGGCACAACAATCACAGAAGTATGGTTTTACACAATGTTACTTTATTTCACCCTAATACTTTCCTGCTCTTGGGAATTCCTGGATTGGAAAACATGCACTGTTGGATTGGTTTTCCTTTCTTTGTTGTGTTTCTAACAGCCGTACTTGGTAATATAACCATCCTTTATGTAATTCAGACTGAACATGGTCTCCATCAGCCCATGTTCTACTTCCTGGCCATTCTGTCATCTATTGACCTGGGCCTGTCCACGTCCACCATCCCCAAGATGCTTGGAATCTTTTGGCTTAACCTGAGAGAAATACTATTTGAGGGATGTCTCACCCAGATGTTCTTCATCCACCTGTGCACAGGCATGGAGTCAGCTGTGCTTGTGGCCATGGCCTATGATCGCTATGTGGCCATCTGTAACCCTCTTCGCTATACATTGGTGCTGACGAACAAGGTGGTGTTCATCATTGCTTGGGTCATCCTCCTGAGACCATTGTTTTTTGCCATACCCTTTGTCTTGCTCATCTTACGGTTACCATTTTGTGGGCACCAAATCATCCCACACACATATTGTGAGCACATGGGCATCGCCCGCCTGTCCTGTGCCAGCATCAAGGTCAATATCATCTATGGCTTGTGTGCCATCTCTATCCTGGTTTGTGATATTATAGCCATTGTCATTTCCTATGTCCAGATCCTTCGTGCTGTATTTCGACTCTCTTCTCAGGATGCCCGGCTCAAGGCACTCAGTACCTGTGGATCTCATGTGTGTGTCATGTTGACATTCTACACTCCTGCTTTCTTTTCATTTATGACTCATAGGTTTGGCCGTAATGTACCACGCTACATTCACATTCTTCTGGCCAATTTCTATGTAGTCATTCCACCTGCTCTCAACCCTGTAATCTATGGTGTCAGAACAAAACAGATTAGGGAACGGGTACTGAAAATGTTTTCCAAGAAATAAAACGAAGCTCTGATGCTCACAAAAAAACAGATGCATGAAAGAAAGGTCAGTAAAAGTCAATGTTCAAAATAGGTGAATGTTTATAAGTTTTATAGTCCTATATAGGGAGGGGATTGTCAATTTTGACACAAACCACCAAAGCTTTTTATATTGTATTATTAAAGCCTAATGGCAGGTCATTCCTGTTAGTGCTGACCTCAAAATTATGAAGTCAGAGCATCTGCCACATGTTGGCATTGACTCTCAGAACAGCTGCATTCTTAACTTTGCTTAGCTATTACCGGTGAGGTGAATCTGATGCTATGAGAGTTTCAAGTATGTGAGACAGTGTGAGAAACCCTGTCCTGAACAGAATTATAAACTCTGAGATTTTGATCAATGTGCTGCAATTCTATTTTTTCAAGATTTTCAAGCAAATATTACTTACTGTAAAAATTGCAATCATATTTAATGTTAACAACTCAGAAATAATGTATTATTTTCAAAGAAGGTTTTCTCTGTAAGGTTTATTATGTTTCACATGTGAAGAGTGTCACTGTTACAGAATGCTGCAAGTCCCAGCAATGGCAAGTCTAGCACTATCTACGTTTGGTTTTGTTTGATAGTCTCATTGAAATGAGCTCCATGTGCTAACATCCAGTGTTATCTATATCTATGTAACACGATTGACATTATGTGAGTAAATTTTCCAGGAAACACAACTTCATGCAATTCTGATAAGATATAACTTTCTTTTAATAATTATATCTCAGAATCTGTACAAATTTGTAAACTACAAAGGCCATTTGTGATTTTGTGATGTGTTTGGCTTCCAAATACACTTTTTAAAACTATTCCGCCGGGCGGTGGTGGCGCACGCCTTTAATCCCAGCACTCGGGAGGCAGAGCCAGGTGGATCTCTGTGAGTTCGAGGCCAGCCTGG